TATATTCTCGTTCTCGAGTCACTGAACCGATAAGGTCCGATATTCAGAAAAGAAAAAGAGAGGAAAAAAAATTCTTCAGTTTTTTTTTACCCAAACGACATTGGAATGCAGTTTATCGCTTCCCGAATTTTTTCCGAGTGTTACACCAGATCGTTATCTCCTCGTACAATGTTATGAGATTAAAGCGGTACAAATAAAAATGTTGAGGGACCACTAAGTTTGGTATCGGAAGAATGTAAGAATTTTTTTTTTATTATTATTATTATTATATATGAATTAATTAAGTATTCAAGGTGCTTTAAAAGTTTCTTTTTTCATCAAGGAATTTCAAAAGGGGGGGGGGGAGGGGGGATTCTCATAACAAATTTATCGATTGTTGTTGCGTGTCCTTCGCCCTTTTTGCGCTAATCGGTTAAATTGTTAATGTTAACAGTTTAGTGAAAAGGAAATTATTTGCTAATTAGTAATTTTTTATAATTAAAATTTTTAATTCATCAATTTTTGAAATTACATTAATTATTAATTTATATTTTTAATACTAATAATTAATTAATATTAATTACTTTACTTATTTATACTTAGTTATATTAATTACCAAATTATTTAATAATTTACACAATGTTTGTTTTATAATTAAAACTAATAATCAATTAATTAATATTAATTACTTTACTTGGTTATTAATTACCTAATTAATTAAATTACTAATTATTACAAATTAATAAGGTTTGTTAGTGACTTATTTCTTAATGGGGTATTCAGTAGTACTTTATTAATTATGCTCATTACTAATTAAATACATAGAATTATAGACATTAATAAATAAGTGAATGAAACTCGTCACAGGTGATGACAAATGAGATTTCTATTTAATTTTGAGCCGAATTTTCTTTGATAAGAAAATTGTAATTAAGTTATTATTGATTTGTCGTACAAGAGGCACTTCAAAATATTACTTTTTGCTCAGTGAGGTAGAGAAATAAAATTGCTATCTATAGGTAAACAAGGCTTATTGCGATGTCCAAGTTAATCTCCGAGGGATATTAACTTTAATTATTGTTCAGTTTAATCAATTTTAAATCAATGCCAATATGAGAAAACGCTTTAGTTCAAATTTAGTTTAATAATTTCTGTTGAAAAATGAAATTATTAATTGAATTTAATAGAATTTTATAAAAATGTAGTAGAAAATTAATTGTCATTTATACTGTCACTTTTGAAAAAAAAATAAATTTTATATTAATATTAATTTATTATAATTACAATATTTAACAGAATTTTTTTTTTGTTTCAGGTGAGTTTTCTGATGGATTTTCTATTTTAACAATTTGGTAAGAGTAATTTATTTACCGACGAAAATTAATTTAACTATTAATTTTAATTTATTGAGAAATATTTTTTTTGACAATTATTTATTTTTTAGTAATAATTATAAAAAATTTAATACCGATTTACTGTATTTATAATCAGTTTAATTATCGCATTTATTTCTCCTAGTATTAGAGTATATTTTGCACTAATTTTTACTAAAATTAACTCTTCCGAAATGGTAGAAATTAAATTTAAATAAACTAGATTTTACTATAAAAGTAGAGTGGAGATTAAAATATTTCTTCACACTTATTTCCCTCTGAAAAAATGAATAAAGTTTCTGCAAAAAAGAACTGTCAATTCCACAACAGACACTTATAAAAAGTCACAGAGGAAATATTTTCAAAAGCTCCTCTTTTATGGTCATTATACAATATTAATTGCAGCACTATTTAAATTTTAATAATAAAATTATTGAGCTGATAAAATTTCGACTGGTCGGAAAAAAAGAGACTATACCTAATGTATAACACAAGCACACACGACAAAAAAAAATTTCTTTTTTTTTTCTTTGTTAAGAAGACATACAAGGCGGTGACATTGCAAATTTACCGTTTTCATTTCCGCGAAGTTGTTCGCACTTTACGGTGTGCCATAAGTCCCGGGGCCCCCGAGATGCCGATATATACTCATGAGAGAGTCGCGCAGCAAATATCGTGAGAAGGGAATCGTCGTCGCGCGTTCCTCTCATTTTGGGACCTCACCGCGAAAACATTATAAAGTTTTCTCTCGTCGATTTCTCGTTTCAAAAACATACGGGAGAAGAGAGGAGAGAAGAAGAAGACCCAATCTCTCTCCGTCAGAGGTTTTCTGTTTGGCGGTGGCGGCAACAACAACGAAACGTTTCCGAAAAAAAAAATGGGTCGGCTTAATCCCCCGCATCAGACGATCATCAATTCCGTCCCGTGAGGGGAAGTGACCCCCCCCCCTCCGTCTTCATCACCAGGAATGGATTCACGCCCGTATCCCAAGCCGAACTCGAGACTGGCAATGCGATCGGAGTTGTCGCATAAAACTGCCTATAACTTTCATTATGAGAAGAGAAAGCTATTTTTTTAAAGTACCTGTCAACACAATCCATTTCACAGAGCATGGAATACTTTTTTGAGGTTCATACCACCTTCCGTGGTAACATCATTGATATGAAATCCATCCAATGATATGAATCCAATGATATGAAATACATCGCAGTTAAAATGCAGAAGGCAAATAAAGATTAGAGGTACAATTTTTGTCGGGACACAAAAACACCATTTGTAGTATAATTGTTTCTGCTGGTTGTGTTCACAGTTCGCAAAGTAAGACTGGAACTTCCCAACAACATAAAGCTATAGGAATCTCCTTCCTTATATATTAACTGACGGAATTTTTCACCGCTTGTGAGAAACTTTTTTTCTTTAAAAAAATAATATTTATGAAAGAAATAATTTTTTTTCAACTTGTTAAGAAATAAAACACAAGAAAAAATAAGTTGGTCAATTTTTCTTAATAATTAATTAATTTATTTATTAAATTACAAAAAATTGTTACTATTTACTAACTCTTGACTCAAAGCAATTGGAAAATAGCAGTTTTTTTTCCTTATTTTGCAACTAACCAATCTTAAAAGTACAAAATAAAGATAATTTATGATTTTAACAATTTATCAAATTGTTTAAAATAAAATTGTTTAAATAAAAAAAAAATAATTGTTAATTACTAATTTTCGATACAAACAGACTTCGCACTCGATAATTAATTTTAAAAAAGTATCAAAAAGTAGCTTTCAAACTAAAAAAAAATTGTAAAAAAGTAGCTATCGAAAAATTAAACTCAACAACCAAAAAACTCGTTTTAAACACTTTATAAAACTGACAAAAATTCCATTCTATATTTTATTTTCCTGACTTTTTCCTAATTTTCATAAAAAAAAAATTTACTTCTTTCTTATCCTAATGCTAATAAATTGAATTCCTACAACGAATTTTATCATTCATGAAAATAATTGAATTCTTAAAAAGATTTTTACAAAAAATATTTTCAATAATTGAATTCTGTTTAGAAATTTTATGAAAATAGTAGATATTGAAAATCATTGAATTGCGAAATTTTTTTTAAAAAGATTCAATTTTACAAAGAATTCTATTAAAATTTTTGACAATAATTTAATGTCTGTGTGTCATTTTATTAAATTTTTTTGAAAATAATTGAATTCCTAAAAAACATTTTATTATTTATGAAAATAATTAAATTCTTGCGAACGATTTTATTAGAATTTTTTAAAATAATTGAATTTCCAAGAAGAAATTTATTACTTTTAAAATTAATTGAATTCTTGTGATGTATATTGTTATTTATGAAAATAATTGAATTTTGCAAAGAATTTTATTAAAATGCCTCAAAATAATTGAATTTTCAAGAATAATTTTGTTATTTATCTTTAATAATTGAACTCTTTTGAAGAATTATTTATGTAAATAATTGAATTATTAGGAAGAATTTTATTAAAATTTTCAAAAATAATTAAATTCCTGAGAAGAAGTTTATTATTTATGAAGATAATTGAATTATTGCTAAAAAATTTTATTAAAATGTTGAAAAGAATTAAATATTTGTGAAAAAGTTTGTTATTTTTGAAAATAATCGAATTCTTGCTTAGAATTTTATCAAAATTTTTTTTAAAAAATTGACTTTCAATGAAAAATGTTATTATTAGTGAAAGTAATTGAATTATTGTTAAGAATTATATAAAAATTTGGTTAGTTAATTGATTTTTTCGAAATTATTTTGAAAATTCTATTCTAAATTAATTGAATCCCTGTGGACATTTCATTATTTATAAAAATAATAAAAATAATAATAATAATATTAATAATAATAATAATAATAATAATAATAATAATAGTAATAGTAATAGTAATAATAATATTCAAAATAATTGAATTTCGAATATTTTTTTGAAAATAATTGAATCGTTTTGAAGAATTTCATTATAATTTTTGAGAATAGTTTTTTGATTTCTAGTATTAGCTATTTTAAAAGTAGTGGAAATTAAAAAAAAAACAGAAATTGTAGCTTTTAGTGGCTGAAATTTAAAAAAAAGTTCCCAAATACTATCATAGCGTAAAAAAGTAGTAAATAGTATAGAGTTTTAGTAGATGAGTGCGAAGAATATAAACAATTAGTTTAATAATTTTTAAATTCAATTCCTTTGCTATAAATATTTTTTTTCTATGCAAAATACGCCTTAGCTGGAGAATGACAATTTATGTTATTGTAAAAAAAAAGTCATTAGGTAAGGAAAACTCCTTAATGAGGGATTAAGGGACCCCGGTGCTATTTTCGCTCCGGAACTCAAACGCAGGCCTCTGACCGCATGGTGGGGGAAGGTTACTTCCCCTCACGGAACGCAATCCCCCCTCTCGCTCTCATACTCTTTCTCTCCCCCCCACTCTCCTTCTCACCACTCGCGCCAATAGCTATGTAACTCACTCTTCCTCCCCCCGCGCAACCAATCCAATACCAGTGTGTATGTGTATATTCGTGATAAAGTGCATGTGCTCATTGGGGAGCGCGCGGGCGCTCGCCTCGTTGCGCACTCGTCACTGCGCAGACCACTACGCGCCGCTGAGCGTGGCGCGCCACCAATCTTTCTCAGTTCGGACCGGGCCATCGTCAAGTGAGCACGCTATTTTTCCCCCATGAAAACTGTGTGTCTGTGTGTGTATATGTGTTTAAAAAGGAAAATTTTTCCCGCGTTACGTACGATAATTGCGCACTAGTTCCCCCTACACAAAGGGAGTGTTTACCCAATTAAAGAATCACAAGCGGAAGTTTGAATCGAAACAAGAAAAAGAAAAAATGTCGCAACAAATAGTGTGCAAATTGTTCGACATTCATGTAAGCACATGTGGCACCACGAGGACGACGACGCCGTTCGTCAACCGGAAGCGACGCGCGCAAGCCAACTTCCTCGAATACACTCATGTCTTTCAATTTATCGCAGGTCCAGTTGAAGGACCGGAAGTGCGGATCAGTGGCGAACGACTACGACGACGACGAAATAAAAGAAATCGATTCAACATTGAAAATTTTCCTTTTACTTGAAATACGCAGTTAGTGTGAAGCAAAAATTGGATTATTAAACCATGTGGTGTTATTTTGCGAACTGGAATATTAGTGATGACATGTGGCAAATAATAGAGAAGTGATTCCTTTTTTTTTGCTTTAGTAGAAAAATGTGAATAACGAGTGCGTCGCTTTAACCGGTAATTGGACCATTCCTTATGCCATTGAGGTAGTAATGGCCCTTGTAGCGTGGTCACGCTACACCACGGTGCGCCATAGTACTATAGAGACTTCCGGCCCGCCACAGGAAGTGAGACACACGTGTCCGGGCGTATGTGTTCCCATACTAATACCAGTGTCGAGTTCTACCCTGCGGTGCGTTACAAGTACGACTGCTTGCTTCCTTTGCGCCTTCTCCTTTCTGAAAACGATCGAAAAAGCAGACAGTGTTGAAAATTTTCTAACAGTGTTTACTGTTCCGAATGCCCTTGGATAATTACGTCTAATCTATAAACAAGTATGTATTTTGAATTCATTTTTTGTGCTGCTTTTTTTTTTTCTTTTTGTAGAAATTTATTATTACGGTTTCCCGTTGTACGTTAAATACTATTTCCCTTTCTCATCTCCCCTACGTTTGTGTTACTCCCCCCTCCCCTCTCTAGTTATCTCGAATGTGGGAGGGAGAGGGGGCAAGTCTCAAAGTTCGACTGACCGCCTTTCTGTTATCGTTATCGGGTATAGAAAAGCAGCGCCAGTTTTCACTTGCCGCACCCGCCTAGTTCGATTACTTACATTATGAATGAATTTTTGGTGCCACATTCATTTCCCTCGCCATATTGCGGGAGTGCGCTTGTGCTCTTTCAAACAGTGGTTCTCATTCTCCTGCGGATTTTGTTTTTACACTCTGGAATTTTTTCTTTCGATTTGTTGAAAATTTTCTTTATATCCAATTAGGAGGATTCCTCGAATTTATTTTATCTATTTTATTACTACATTTTGTTTCTCTTACATTACATCTTCTTTTTCTTGGATTTTACTTGTCTTATATTCTTTTAGTATTTTATTTTCTCCTATATTTTACGACAATATTATATTTTGTCTCTATTCTATTGTTGTTATATTTTGTTTCTCTAATATTCAACTATTATTTTATTTTACTTCTCTTATATTCGACCTAGCATTATAGTTTATTTTTCTTATATTTTATTCGTCTTGTATTCTGATTATACTTATTTGTAAATATCATTGAGGCTGTTGTTGATATTTATCGACTAGAAACGGTAATTTGAAGATTGATGGACAATGACGGGAATTTTTTTTTTCTCTGTAAACATTGGGGTTTAATTTAGCAGGAATAAAACGTGCGGCGTGTATTTGAATTTTCAACGCAAAGTTACAAATTCCCAACAGAAATCCGATTCAAGCAGGAATGCGTTATTATGATAATTATATCCTGTGTGCCAAACCCCTTTTACATTATTTACATGCCATGGAAACTCACGCGTGCCAATTACCTTGCATCATCCGTTTTTCTCATTTTTTTTTTTTTACACTCGTTACAATCTGCTGAGTTATATTATGTATATTTTATACATTTGTATATAATATATAGAATATATACCTGCAATATATAGATATAAAAGACATATATATTTATATAAATTTCTTGTATATATCTACCTGCAGTATACATATAATAGGCACATATATACTTATTTACAGATAAATACACAGATATAGTTTAGAGATACACTGTTGGATATAAATTTTTCAATGAATAGAGAAATGTTGATCTGCCTGAGTAGCGGGGACGGGAGGGAAAGAGAGAATGCAAGAAATCCGCGTTCGTTCGATCATGTACTTGTTTATTTTTCTCGCCTTGAACTTTACTCTTCTTCAACCGTATTGTGGCACACGATCTCCAAGTTGCTTGTCAAAGATGCGTAATATTTTAGTCTTTATCGCTTTATTAACCGTCCATGTTTTTATTACAAACACTTTTAATATTAATTTACTCAAAAATATTTCGAATTCCGTAAATATTTTGTTTTCACGACTTTCTAGTTTTTAAATTTATACCAATTTTTTTTTTCTCCTTACCGTTTTGAATTTTTTTTTTTTTAACAATAAGAAAAGTGAGGTTATGTTGTATATTTTTATATTAAAATATTGATCATGAGAGTTAATTAAAAATAGTCAAAAGTAATTGTGTGAACACTTGATATATTTTCGACTGTTTTTGGAGAAAACGGTTATTTTTTTGAAAATACAGTTATTTTTTATTACTTAATGAAAAAGAATTTAAAGAGTATTATATATTTTTAAAGAGTAATTTTTATTCTCTTTTTTTGTTTTCTTTCTTTCTTTTCCTTTCTTTTTTTTTTTTACTTCTTTCTTTTTGGTTTCTTTTTCGTTCTTTTAGTTTCCTTTTCTTTTTTTCCCTTTTTTTCGAGGATAATTAAAAAAGACGATCGAATTTTGCGGCGGTCCGTTATATAACCAATCAGGGGGATAAAGTTGAGAGCCGCCTTCTTGCATACCGTATTATGGTTTGTGGGCCGATTGCCGGTGAGCTGAGAACGCGAACCGTAGGAGGCTGAGTTAAGGACAGGTACCCATGGAATGCCGTCTTCGGGCTCGAATATATCTGAGACTGTGAACCCAAAGGCTCTCCCCGCGTGCGTTCCTTGTTTCTTCTCTCCCGAGAGAGTCGCGTTCCACTGTTTCACGACGTGTGCGATCAAAACCTTTAAGGATCGGACAAAAACCTCTCTCTCTCTACTTGTGAAGCAAAATTTTGCCCCTACGCACCATTTTCTTTCCCGGGTGTTATGACCAGGGTGTCTACTAACCGGGAATTCCGGGAAAACCGGGAAATAACCAGGAATTTTATTTGACCGGGAAAAACCGGGAATTAGCCGGGAATTTTATACCGAACCGGGAATTTTTTCACAAAAATTAAAAAAGTTTTATTATTTTAATTTGTTTTTAAAAAATCAATTTTTATTTCAATTTTTATAGATATTTATACTGTTCTCTAAATTTAAGTTAGTTAAAAATAATTAATTTGATGATAAAAAGTCAGTTACCAATTCAAATATATTATGTAAATAAATTTTAAAAAAATTATGAAGTTAATAGAAATATTGTGAAATTCGACTGAAAATATGTAATTAAATTTGTTAAAGAAATTCATTAGAAACTTTTTAACAAATAGAATTTTCAAAGTATTTTAATTTAATAATAATTGATTAATAATTGAATATTATAAAGAGTAAAATTCTAATGTATTCATGTTTCTTACTGCGAAGATTAATAATTAAAATTTTTATTAGTTAATTTAAAATTAACTAAAAAAAATTAAAAATTAATAAAATTGTTTAATAAAATTGAACTTTCGCAAAATTTTTTTTAAATCTAAAAAATAAAATTGTTGTAATTTTTTAATTCTATTGTTTCAAGATAATTGAATATTTTTCTAAACAAATCATTGAAATTTTTTTACTTTTTTTGAAAAATAATTGAATTTTTTTTTTTTTCGAAATTTTTCGAAAATAATCAAGGGACCATAATTATAATTTTATTTTTAAAATTTTAAGTCCCTCTTACAGTTTTAAATCAATTTTTTGCTTCTAAAAATTATACTATTCTATTATTATTTAATAATTATAATTATTGAACTTCTCTTAAATTTTTATCATTTTAAATTTCTGAATGTTCAAATAAATGATATTTATTTATTTCTTGAGCAAATTAAATGTTTATTACATATTAAGTAAATAATTATTTATTGCTGCTTATTATTTTCAAAAATTTTAATAAAATTCTTCACAAAAATTAAATTATTTTCATAAATAATAGCATTCTTTGGAAGGATTCAATTATTTTTATAAATAGTAAAATTCTTAGCAGAAGTTCAATTATTATCAATGTAATTTTAATAAAATTGAAAAATACAATTTTCAATTATAATTATAAAGAGACACGATTATTTTTAAAAACTTGAAAAAATTCTTTGTTTAATTCAAGTATTTTCCAAGTTTTTAATTAAAATTATTGAAAAAAACATTATTTTCAAAAAATTTAATGATTTATTTATGTTTGAAATCAAATTTAAATTTAAATTTGATAAGAAAAAAAACCGGGAAAAAATTAGGATATAGCCGGGAAAAACCGGGAAATAACCGGGAATTTTGTTAAACGAAAATAGTAGACACCCTGTATGACGCATCACACTTTTAACTACCAACTACACTTTTCAACTTGTGTTTACTTTTAACTTTTTTTCCCGGTATTTTTTGTTTCCGGAAAAATTTCCTCGTTGTCTTTCCAAGAACTCGGAAGAGCAGTTCCCAATTTCGGGTCTTTAGAAAATTTAATTATCGAGTTTTGGATTTTATTTGCATTCTAGTGATGACTGATGATTTCCGCGAGAAAATTCGATAAATAGCTGTAACCATTTTTTAAAATTTTGATTTCTTGAAAAAAAAAATTATATTTTCTGCAAAATTCAAGTTCATTGCTCCCGTATGTGTCTCTATCCTTCTCTCTTTTGCTATTGTTGTTAGTAAACTCTATGTGTGTGGGAAGTTCTCGAGGCCAAATTCTCCACCGGTTTTATTTTTTTCTTTCTTACACGGTACTTTTATAATTGAAATCCAATATTTAGACATTTATTTTCTTTCAAATCTTTTCAACTCCTGTTGATTTTGTCTTAATTAAAAATATTTACCACTAATATGAAATTAAAAAAATACGTCGTTTTTTCCCCACTGTCGAAATTTGTAAAAATTGACTCGAAGAGGAGTTATTTATTGTAGAGAATTATAAAAATAAAAATTCAAGGAAACTATTTTTTTCTCCTTGAGATATTTTATCCTTTTATATATTCAATCATGATGACGCGCACATATTTGACAAGACTTGTGACCTTATTTCAACATTTTCCATTTATATATCCTTTTTTTACCCCCCTTTTTGTACTTATATAATATTGACGACTTAATAAACCAGAGATAGATAATCTTCGTTTTGCTTAAAATGTATTTTAATTTTCCTTTCTTCATATATTCTGCTTTTGCATTATAAATTGAAAATTTCACTAAACGCTCGTAAAATCTTCTTCATTTAATGAGTTGCTTGGCATATCTTTCTTAAATAGACACTTTCGGAAAACGTTCCCACGTTAGTCAGCGTATTTCTATTTTTAGCCCCGGCGACACTGTCCCCGTTTTTCTTTATTTTCAACAATTAAACTTTATTTTCTTCTATTTAAATTGTGTCGATATTAAGTTGAGGGTAATTTTCGCAGTTGAACGTAATATTACTTTTGGTGTAATATTGTTAACGTTACTTTTAGCGTAACTTTTTAAACGTAGTATTACTAAATAATATTTGTTGCAATTATTATTTTTTTAGTGTTATTATTATTTTTATACGATTAAAATATTAAGTGAGGCGAATATTGAAAAATTCGTTGAATACGATACGAAAATAAAAGCACGTGATTGAGAGTGG